GTGCCTGTGGCTCACAGGAGTAGGGTGCCAGCCACATATACTGGAGGTAGTGGGTTCAAACCCAGCCCCAGCCAAAAAAAACTGCAAAAAAAAGATATTCCTTTTATGACTCATCGCCTTACTCCTTTGAAGTCTGGGCTCAGATGTCACCTTATCAAAAAAGCCTACCATGACCTCCCACATCTCAGACATTGCCCCCATTCTCTTATCCCTTTTGGCCATACACATATTTATCTCCCCCCCACCCCCCGTAGTGTAATCCCCAAGAGGCCTAGGACATTGCCATGTTCACTGGTATATGAACTATGTCCCTGGTGCCTGTGCCAGGGCCAGGCACATAGCAGGTTCTCAATAAATATCCACTGAATAAATGATTCAGAATAAATAATTCTTGAATACTTGCTGTGTATTCATCTCTGTCCTGGCCAATGAAAGGCAAATAAGAAAAAGACAAAATCACTGTCAGTGATAAAGTGCTTGGGTTTTAGGATCAAAACCTGCCTCTCTGGGTAGGCTCGGTAGCTCATACCTATAATCCCAGCATTCTTGGGAGGCTGAAGTGGGAAGATCTATTCAACTCAGGAATTCAAGACCAGCCTGAGAAAGAGTGAGATCCTGTTTCTATTAAAACTAGAAAAATTAGCTGGCACTACTTGGGATACGAGGCAGGAGGATTGCTTGAACCCAGGAGTTTGAGGTTGCTATGGGCTAGTCTGATGCCATAACACTGTAGCCTAGGCAACGGAGAGAGATTCTGTCTTAAAAAAGAACCGGGGAGCGCCTGTCGCTCAAAGGAGTAGGGTGCCAGCCCCATATACTGAAGGTGGCGGGTTCAAACCTGGCCCTGGCCAAAAATTGCAAAAAAAAAAAAAAGATCTCAAACCTGGCTGAACGCAGTGGCTCACACCTGTGATGCTAGCGCTCTGAGAGCCTGAGCCAACTGGATTGCAGAACTCAGGAGTTTGAGACCAGCCTGAGCAAGACTAAAAATAGAACAAGTAGCTGAGTTTTCTGTCAGGCACTTGTAATCCCAGCTACTTGGGAGGCTGAGGCAAGAGGAGCTCTTGAGCCCAAGAGTTTGAGGTTGCTGTGATCTGTGATGCACTGTAGCCCAGGCACCAGTGTGAAACTCTGCCTCAAACAACGACAACAAAACCCTGCCTCCTCATCACTTCTCCTTCCCTGGCCTCACTGGTCAGGTTTCCACCTCTCCCATCTCTTTTCCCTCACACCTCTCACCCACTCCCTCCCCTCCTCTCTGCTCTGCCACCCCAGTCCACAGGCCCTCATTGTTAGCCTGGATGCCCAGAGAACAGCTTTTACACCCGCCTTCCATGTCCCTTCTAGTACTGCTCTTTCTCAAGGTGTCTGAGGCTAAAGCACTCTGGGCCTGCCTACCCTTCCCTTCACCTCATCTCTTGTAGTTCAGCTCCTCTTCCCTGGGCACCAGCTACCCTGCCCACTGAGGCCCTGGAAAGGAAGCCCTGGCTGGTCTCAGGCCCCTGCATGTACTGTTCTCTCTGGCAGGCCTTCCCTGGGCCTGCCGGGCCTCTTCATGGGCCTCTCTTGACCCCTCCAGCCAGTGTAGCACTCCCCTCAGCCCCC